CGTCATGCATTCGCTTTTTGTCCTCTCAATTTCGTAAACAACACCCCTGTTCTGGGAAGGCAGTGAATAGGATTTCCCTGGTAGTGGTGTATACGCGTGGCCATGTGACAGCATTTCGCGAGAGAGAGCTAACTCTCTTCACACTTGAGATCGTACTTCTAGGGATCACGTTACACTGTGCTATAAGTTTAAAGGTTGTCCGAATCTTAACCGGTAGATCATGCATTAAGTGGTCGTCGTTTGATTAGATATGTAAAAATCATTGATCTACAGGCTGATATGATCGTAACGACTTTAAATAACGTAGAAAAAAACGTTTCCAAAACGGTTGCATTGTAGTATCGTTAACCCCAATACAAAGATTTAGATCTGAGAAAATCTATTTCTTCAGTTATCAGATTTATGTCTTAAATAAGTAGGAAAGCGTCTAGATTTTCTAGAACAGATATACTATTTTCTCTGGTTTACAAAACATGATTTCAAAAGATTGTGGAGAAAGTATTTATGAAATCACTTGCATCTAAGAAAATTAAACAATGAATAAGAGATTGTTTATTTCATTTGCGTGTCTGTAAATGATTTTATAATAATATTTCAATAAGTTGTTGTACTGTCGAAACTGTAATATCGTTTGCTGTAAATTAAGTTACCTTTTTGTTCCAAGGTTGATTGGCACAGTATCACATCCTGAATGTAATTTATTGACATGTGTAAGTGAATTTTCATGATAACTAGACTATAATGACTTCCGACTTAAATTCATGTTTTTTTCCTAATGTGATAGACAAATTTTAGCCATAGTCCGCTAGTCAATTGTGATAAACATACTACAGTTTTACTGAGTATAGTGTTAAAAGCAAGATAGATGTGAAAAATAAGATATTGGCAACATCTTTACACGTAAATATCAATGAATTTATGGGCAAGAAATGGCCTGAACCAAAATATGACATTTGCTCAGTTCGTATTACTTTTGAGTGGTTCATTATCTAATGTTAATTTTTCATAAACACGAAACCTCATTGTTTAGTAATTTTATTACGTTTTGAATAACTCAATTTTTTATGAGTATAACGGGTATTATTGTTTCTATAATCTAGTGAGAAGACGGAGTTTACCAAGACTATGTGATGTATTCGCGCAATACATTTTGTACAATCTGATTAGGCATTTATTTATTGAGTTATTTATGTATGAAAAAGTGAAAGTCAATGAGAAGAGTTGGAAGTTGAAAAAAGATTTAAGGGAAAAAATATATTAATCTCACCACTTTGGATACTAACTCAGTCTAACCAAGCAAAGTTTAGTGTATGTCAAAAGTGTTTTTAAACATGCTTTGGAGGAGAGCATTAACATTTCGTATGGCTAAGCCCAGGTACTCTCCCTAGAAACTTTTTCTCAAAACCATGAAGTTTGGGTTAGTGCCAGTCTTATGATGTGTTTCAACTTTGTTTGACAGTGAAAAAATATTGATGTTTGTCATCTGCTCTTAATGGATCATTTGGTTTGATGTTTTTTTATGTAAGTGCTCAGCCACTCTGCTTTGCAAACCACTACTATTCCTTCTTATGAATGCGTCCACACACAGCAGTGCCCATCCACGATTCCGCCTCGTGAGATTCGAACCCTCGATCTATCGGTCTCGCGCGCGAACGCTTAACCTTTAGACCACTGAGTCGGCATCCAATGCTGCTAATGTTTAACTCCAACTAATCAACGAAATTGAGTGACACATCCACCATTGTCTTCAGTGAGTCACTATCTCACAACATACCCGGTTGAACTCCACTTGTCTCTGCTTCTCACTAGAACTCCAGGAAATAACCCTTGAAGGCAGTCACTAGTGAGCGTATGTTGATTAATATCGGAAGGGGTTTTGCGGGTATTATAGTAATTTCAGTAGTTGAGATCGTGAGTCAATTTAAGCTAGACCACCATGAAAACCTAGGAGCACTGGACGGCCGTTTCGTCGTGTTGTAGGATTCCTCAGCAGTGCGCATCCACGATCCCGCCTCGCGGCCGTCCAGTACTTCCAGGTTTTCCATGGTGGTCTAGCTTCAATTGACTCATGATCTCAACTTTTGAATTTGCTATAATATGCACAAAACTCCTTCAAATATTATTAACCTTAATTATAAGTTGAAAGTTCTGACTTTATTAGACTAATGAAATCCACTACATATCTTCACTGACTTTTGTGTATTACTTATAATCATGCAAAAAATTTTAAACCATTTTCATAAATATAAGAAAAGAGTGTATTATACATGTAATGAACAAAACTTTGAGAATATAAGCTCATCATATCAATGATATTATTACTATTAGGTTGGATTTCAATGTAAATCAAAAATCATTATGTCTCATGTACAAAGTATAAACCATATACAAAGTGTCTGTAGCAGAAATAATGTGTACTGTTCAAACAACAGTATAGTTATTATTAATTATTTGAGATTAAAGTGTTAAACTAATTGCTCATGTACTCTGATATCCGGAATCGTATGTGAAAATTGTATAGGTCATGTTTACATTAATTAATTGAATGATCATCAGTTTAATGTTTTAAATATTCGTTTACGAACTGTCAGCAATTTATTGACTATAGATTTGATTGGCATTTCACATTGTCAGAAAAGTGCTCTTATTCTTATGAATATCTACTGAATTAGTAGGTATCATTACCAAGGTTTAACTTGATAATTTCGAATAAGTTGAGCATTGGGTAAATTGTTATAAATAAATAATACATTCGTAATATCCCAATTAGTAGAAAATCTGATTTTTATACTCATTGGGCTATTACAAATATATTATTTATTTATCTACTGAATTGTTTTTTCAACCAGCTAAGGTTCCTTAGCCTTTGAAAGATTTGTTATTATATGGATAAACTAAACGCCCTTAAAAGTACAATAGAAAAGTACAGTACAATGATTATCCGTATGAAAACGTCAAATTGAGTTTTAATTTTTCAGAAGTCATTTCGTCTTTCTTTCTACCATTATCATATAAGAACGGCTGTATGATGAAGTGTATTAATTTTCGAATTACTACTGTTAACATTAAATCCATAATAATTTTGTTCCGAATATACTGAATTTAGTTGTAATGTGGTAAGTGCTACTTATATGGACATAAGTATTACATAATGTTAGTGGTGAACAGAAGGTCTGGCAGCAGAGAGACAAGAGGATCGAACAGTAAAGAATGGAAACAGGATGCAATTCGTATGAAAACGCAAGAACACTGAAGTCTGAGTCATTATGAGACAACTGATGGACATTTTGCAAATTACGTATATACTATTTGATTGTTAGACTTTATTAAGAAGTCCTGTAGTTTTGTGTCAAATACATTCCATTGTCCCCAGTCCCATTCTGTTTACTACAGTAATACTTAGAAAGTCTGTGTGGGTATTAACCCAAACAAACATAACGAACTACAACATTTATCATTTTGACCTCTCACACCTCAATATTCTTGTGATGCAGAAATTTAAAGCAATTAGTCCCGTTTATAAATTTCGATAGAACAATAAGAAGACGGAGTTTATCCTAAAAATGTGATGTATTTGCGCTAAACATTTCGAAAAATCTGATCACACATATTTGTCAGGGCATTTTTATATGAAAATTAATAAAGGTCAATTAAATAAAAGTTCAATTAAAATAACAAAGGGGAGAGAAAGAATAAGAGATTGTCGCGTTATCCTAGGCCATAGAATGACTTAAGGATTACCAAGGTAAATTCAAGGTTACGACAAATTGTTTTTGTACACATAAGGGGGGTTTAAATTTACGAATAACCAAAAATTCAATAAACTTAAGAATTCGTCCTTGACAATTTCTATACAACATTCTAAATGCTGTATTAATGTCAATTTTGTGCCCCGTCTCAATTATATGTTTCACTATCGACGAACTTGGTTTTCTACCTCCTACATTGATCGGACCGTTTGACACACATTGATTTTGAAGCCATCTAGGCACTTGTTCAATGACCATTGATTGCATTGTTCGATAACACCTCCCTATGTATGTGTGTCCACACAAAATTATAAATTGTTAAATACAATGGGATGTGACGTAATCATTTGTGCATTGTTTGGGTCTATTAGGAATCATGGCCTTAGACTTTTTAATCACTACCAACTGAGCAGCATAATACTTATTCTCGATGGCTGCTTTCAATCTCTGCCTTAGAACTATACTGTTAGATTCGCCTTTATATGGTAGATTGATATAAACTTTTTTCTTTGGCACTGAATAAATTAGAGGTCTTGGCATTAACTGACTTGAGTGGATAACCATTTGCTGTTAATGTGTAGAAGTGTTTCGTAATTGATACCTAATCCTAACACTCACCCTATTTTTTAGAAAAAACTATATATATATATAATATCTACCGATTTCACTGAATTTTATTCCCCCCTTTAGTTTGAACCTATCCATCTACCTACTGGTTTGTGGTTAGCCTCGCTTATCATGCAAAATCGATTTGTAATGACAATTACTCTTATTCCACTATATTTCACCAAATATAGTAAACTGATTATTTATGTACGTTCAGTAGTTATTCAACTATCATTTCAAGTGTTGTTCATACAAGACAGTCTTATATCTTTTATGTTACAGTTTATTTTGCAGCTTGGCAAAATTTATCGTTACTAGATGAAATTAACATCCAAAGCGATGATAATCCTTAAGAAATTATATCATATATATATATATATATATATATATAAAGGAGCTGTTCAAATGCTCAATAGTTTAAATAAAGTTCTTCATTACCCCCTAGTTCAAAGACAGAAAAAAACAAAATGCTCCTTAATTTACAAAAAAAAAACAATTTTCACTTGCCAAATTTAACACTTGAGTTACATCAAACAAACAACAGCAAAAAAAAACAACCTAATCATAATGAGAATCTTTATGCGTAGGTGATTATCTTCCGATTGGTTATTGTTTGGAATTATAATTTTGACAAGGAATAGAAATAAAGCATTAAAAAAAACAATGAAACATTAAATAGATAAATAGTTCATTGACAAAATAATTTACAATTACAGAAGAAATATTTCCTCAAAAATATCACTGGTACAGATTTATTTAAGTTTGTTTTTATTCGAAATAGAATTCTTAATATACGTGAGTTATTTATACTAATTTTATTGTAATTTTGTATGAATATTATGTTAATATCAGAAGGGGTTTTGTGGATATTATAGTCATTTTAATAATTGAAATCATGAGTCAATTGAAGCTAGAATATTATGGAAAACTTGGAAGAACTGGACAGCCGTTTCGTCCTATTGTAGGGTTCCTCAGCAGCGCTCATCCACGATTCTGCCTTGCGAGATTCAAACCCACAATCTAACCTCTAGACCACTGAGTCGGCATCCAACTAATCCACAAAATTGAACGACACATCCATCATTGTCTTCACTGAGTGACTATCTCACAACAGACTTGGCTGAACTCCACTAGTCACTGCTAGTGTTAGTTGATAATTCATCTTATTATTATTATTTGCTCATGTAATGTATGTATGTTTTTAATAGATCAAAGTAATCAGATAGAGATTGTTGTTTTGTTTTTTTGTCTCTCAATCATTAATCAGATCTGAATAAAATAACAATTATGAATATAATGAATATTTTATATTGTTATTCATTAATTGGTGTAAACGATGTTAAATATTGAATATATTCAATAAACAGTATAGATTCAATAATGATAATATGCGTAAAATTTGAATAATCATTTGTACAATATTGAAAAAGGAATAATATACAGAGTAATAATAAAATATGGTTATAATCAGGGATTGAACTTATTAAAGTTTAATTTGATGAGAACAAGTAGAAATATTTGGTTAATCTTTAATATCTGTCCGTCCATTTTTAAAATTAAAATTTTTTCAAGGTTATATTATTTTTGTTTTAATCATTTTTAATAATAATTACATTGTATGATAGAAAATATTTTGTTCTCATAGATAAAACACATGTTATCATATATGGTTAAATAGAAAACATACTCAGATACATAAAAATAAAATGTCTATTGTCAGTTTTGTAAATTGGTTGGAGTTAAACATTAACATCATTGGATGCCGGTTCAGTGATCTAGAGGCTAAGTGTTCACACGCGAGACTGATAGATCCTGGGTTAGAATCTTGCGGGGGGCGGGATCGTGGATGCACTTTGTTGAGTCGTTCCACACTAGGACGAAAACGGTCGTTCAAGGGTTTCTATGATAGCCTAACTTTAATTGACTCATGAATTCAACTATTAGACAAAATGTCTGTCCAACTAAATGGACTTGGCTCACACGCCTTCTCCACCGTGCGTCATTTTGCTTCGCTCTCTTCTATTCGCTTCATCCTTCTCACTTCCTGTCCAGATCAATATGTACAAAATATACGTATTCAAAACTTCATTCTCGTGTTTGACTTATTTAATTCCGTTATACACTAATGTGATTTAAGTCAATGATTTTATACAAGCTTAGACAATATGTATATTTCAATAACAATAAAACACCTGATATAACTGGAGTCAGATAGGTATCCATTTTGTGATATTGAATATCACAACTGGTAAGTAAAATGTTACTTTTTCAGTGAACTGAGCTTCTATGCACACACAGATGGTAGGTATATAAGAAAAATTTATGTAGCAAAATACATTTATCTTGTTACCTTATATTGTACTTAACAATTAATTGTTTTTAGAACTAAACTCATCATTTTCTACTGACATAGTAACCTTTATGTATGGATACCTTGATATTGCCAAACTATAGCTAACAATAGGATTAACAGCGTAAATATTATAATATCAGAATAATGTCTACATTATGATAAATTGTTTTCATATTTGAAATTAAGTAACTTATGTGAGAGTGAAACATTCAAAATCCAGTAAAAATAACTGAATAAATAAATATTATTTAAATAGGTATACAAATGTTTTAGAATTATTTCCAAGTATTAATAATAATAATAATAATAATAATAATAATAATAATAATAATAGTAACAGTAGCTTCTTATTTCTCCAGTGTTCATTCTACAGTAAATATTTGTAAATTATCAGTAGTATATATCAGTTTTTGATTGAGACCATGAACCGATTGATGTTAGACCGCCTTTGAAAACCTGGAAGCATTGGATGGCCGTTTCGTCCTATTGTGGAAAGCCTCGGCAGTGCGCATTCACTATCCCTCTTACAGGATTTGAACCAAGGGCTGGGTTTTTTGGTAATTCTATTCTTCAAGCTGTATAGTTAAAAATGGAAAAGCAGAATAAATCAGCTTAGTTTAAAAGTTCAAAAGAGTGCTAGGGAAAAGATATTTGTAGAACTTATACTTTTGAATAGGTACATATTAATAAGTAGGTAGCATCAGACAGTTTTAAAACTAAATTCATTAAAAAGAGATGTCTTTGCTGAAACATTAAGGAATATTTTCTATTTCGGTAGCCAGTATTTTCAGTAGTCGTTAACGTAGGCTTCTCATCATTCAAATGAAACGCAATAAATATCCCCAAGAATTTCAATTTGTCTCTTCGTATGAAATAAACTGTGACAACTTATTTAATATTGTAGTTTACTCAAAGTAATCTTTTATTTAGTCAGATAAAATATAATGACTATCTCATTTTTCCATCTTTTTTCAATTTACTTACATTCGTCAAATCATTCTTTTCATTGTGGTAATAATAGAAAATCAGCTTTATGCTAAATAAATTTTCAGTAGTCGAAGTATATTACTTAATAACATGTATTTAGTAGTAGGTTGGGTTCTTCGTAATTTAGTAGTAAGTTGTCTCTTTAAAGTTGTTTACAGTAGATTACGTAATAGTAAGATTAATATCCAAAATCATCATATATTTTTATAAATAAACTGATTATTTTTGTGAAATTACTCAAAAATATTTACTACTGAATTCACATTTTTCCTTAGCAATAAAACTATATCAGTACAATATCATATTATCTCTGTCCAGTTTGTGCATATGACTTGAACACTTTTGTACTTGATATGATTAATTGTGTAACTTAAGTTATTAGTAGGATAAAACGCGGATATTTACTGCTGAACGTTCTTTGGTGAAACTATTATTGAAATCATGTCACTTACGATGTTTGGTAATGCAACTATTCAGTCTTATATTGTTGAGTATCTAAAATTTATAAACTAACATATTTAAGTACCAACGATTCTTTTATCATACTTAAGTATAACACAAAGCAGGCTATCTATTTTCTGTTATGTAGATTGTATGAAGATACATTTTCCCCTTATGTATAGTAGTATATCCGTGATAAACAAATAGCTAAAGCGTTAATGAGTACTAAGCTAAATGATGTTACCACCTATAGTTTTAAACTTTCCATTAATGATACCATAAAAAGAAACTACGAATTTTTAAGTGAACAACCTATATATATTTTTTCTTCTCTAAATTTCAATCTTATGTTATCATTCGTGCAGAAGATAACTAAGTGATATACTTTTATTGATTCATTTGTTTATTTACACAATGTTACAAATAAAATAATCAACTTGAATGGATTGATAATTTCAAAGGTTAGAATTTACTTCAAAAGTATTTCTTTATTGTTTATTTTATATCTTTAAATGTTTTTCATGGTTCAATATGTACGAATAAGTGTCTTTTGTTCTTCAAAATACGAGAACCATTGTTACATGAAATAAGTTGCATTATTAAAGATATCAGAAGAAAAAAAAGAAAAGAAAAGAAATTATGGATCTGATATTCAGTTGGATATATTGAATACATAGTTTCTATGAATAAAGTCATTGATATATGCTTAACAACTGACTGTTTAACATGGACTAATTTGTACATTATATGGATATGAATAATGATTCAATGAAGGGATGGTGTTTTAAATAAATTCTATTCAAGTGACATTGAAACTATGTAAGATATTTTGAAAAATTTTCAATAAGCTATTGAAACAAGTGAGCTTATGGAAAAAAATGTATATGATAAGAAATTAAAAAATTGTCTATCATTTCACGGTAATGAGTTATTTATTGATTTATTGATTTTCGATCAGATTGTTAGATTTTTGTTATAAAACAAACCCTGTAATTACGATGACATTTAAAAATAATAATAAAACTAATCAATTGCATTTTCATGTAAGGTTCATGAGCATAAGAATTTGGATGACATTTGGTATATCATAGTTTGAAGCTTGTAGTAATTTTAGCAATTTATGTTTAAAATATGTAGATTATTGTAATTAGTCAGTTGAGAAAAAACAAATTCCCGCATGAGCATTAGGCTGTAGTTATTTAAGTCTTGAAATTCCACTAAATATTCATCATTCTATAGAATTATTACTGTAGTAAGTTGAAATATTATTATTATTATTTATTTAAACAAATAAACCTTAGTATAAGAAGGAATCAAACAGGTATGCATCACATAAATCACTCGATTTGTGTGAGGTTTGAGATACTGTCCGAACGCGCAAATCGAAGCAGATTGTTTTCTTAGGGGGCCACTCACAGACCCTTTGACCTACAGGTCTAATCCACAAAGTATTGAAGTAACGTAAAGAGGTGCAGTCCCATGGTAGTCAGTGACCAAAAATTGGTTCATACGCCATTTTTTCCTTCACGATATTAGAGCCTATATGTACCACTGGTTTGTAATCAGGGTTTTCCAACTCCCCTAAGTAGATACTTCGTATCCACCAACCTGGTTAAAGCTGACTCTCTCCACTCTTAGCCGTACTAGGGCATGAACAAAATATGTTACAAGCCATCCTTATTGAATTATCATTATTAATGATGGCAACAATGTAATTCATGGGTAGAGATGTTAAGTGGCACGTCTTAAAATTAGCTGAAGTAATACATCTTCACTTATTCTTTCTTTATATTTTATTAAATTTTCATAAATATTATCATACTTCATTTCTCATCAATTTTATTTGATCTAAGACAAAGGCTGTGAACACATTTCTCAAACGGAAAATCATAGATTAATTATAAATTTATAAAAGTCCTTTTATTTAACTGCTAAATGATATGACACATAGTAGATCACAATGTCACAATTGTATTCCTTTGTTTTCCTTCTCTAATTGCTGAACTGAATATCA